AGAATTGGCTAGATGTGTGTCATGGTATGAGCTTATCTTACTTTTTGGCTACAAAGACCTGAAACCATTGTAAGAACTGATTATTTCCACGGAACAGGGCTTGCACCTGTATAGGTGGAGTGTGAATTCCAGAGAATCAATGAATGGAGTCTCAGAGCTGTGCCGATGAGATTTCTAGGTAGCCTTCCTGAAGGGATTCGGACTGCAGGTTTCAACTGCTTTTCACCCGAGAGCTAGTGTCTCATCAGAGAGCTCCAGTTCCAAATTCGTGACATTGCTTCTACATCACCAAAACCTTCTGGTTTGATTTTTCCTTCAACTTTTCTCACAATGTTGTTTTTCTTTTCTTTCTTAGGAGGTTCCACTCTGTTTGTTGAAACATCTCTGAGGCGACCCAAAGACACGGAGAACAAGGATGGGTCCCTTGAAGTAACAGGGCAGCTGGGAGATGTAATGAAAGAGAGTGCCAAAATAGCTTACACGTTTGCGAGAGCCTTTCTGATGCAGAAGGACCCCAACAATGACTTTCTCATGTCTTCCCATATGCACTTGCATGTGCCAGAGGTAAAGCGATGCGGAATTCCCAGCTGGCTAGTGATGCCAGCCATTGCAGAACTCTCAGTGCAGCTCGGCTGGTTTGTTCCCCTAGACATGAAGCTGGAAAGAACTTCATTTGTCCATGCTGGGCAGAATGCCCTTTTTCAGCAGTAAAACCTAGGAAGGACGATGTTTTCCTCAGGATCCTGTGATAGCATTCTTATGCACTGCGTTTCCATTCCTTTCTGCAGCAAGCATGTGGAGAGGATACAGGGGCTTGGATAGTGCTGTAAGGAATCCCAGACCTTCGTTGTAGCTGTTGGCCCTGTTGTGCAGATGGGGAAACCATGGCATAGAGATGAGTGCTTTTGATAGAAGCTTCTGTGCAGCTACAAGGAAGCCAAAGTTTAGGTCTCTGTGTTACTGGGCCTTCATAAAGGCTTCAGGTCATTTGCACAGAATTGAAAATACTACTCTTGGTCTCTGTGCCATGGTTCCTACTCCGTATCATGGCAGTGGTTGCATTTTTCCAGTTTGGGGACTGAAAATAAATGCACACAATGCTCCAAGGGGCTCGTACGTGGTGTAACAGGCTTTGGGCAGGTGCTTTACTGAAGACAAAGTCTGTACTACACTGTGCCCAGGCTTTGCTTCTGAACTATTGCATGCTTTCACCTAGTCCAGTCTCCTCGTTGCAGCTTGCTCTGTGTCTGTCCAGGTACCTGGTGGTTATCTGTGCATTCGTTTCCTGGAGGATCAGAAAACAGCAGAAATGATCTGTTTCTACCCCCTATTAAACATTCATTTCTTCTGCTCTTGCCTCAGAGATCTATTTGATACCAGATAAATCCAGACTGTCACTAGTTTAGGCCTGGATTTTGTTGGGCTTTCTAAACTGAATGATCTTTTGTACCTTGAATGATTTTCAGTATTGTCCTCAACTATCTTGTGACTCTTGATACTGTCTTGCCTTGTGATGCTGACCTCTGTTACTTGTTTCCATCATTGGCTTAGGTCAACAAAAAGCTTCAAAGCATTCATGCTCTGGTTTCTGCTCATGTTGATTACTCAGAGTCCTGAGCCTGATGAGTATTGTGGTGGCATCGGGCCAGAAACTGAGTTGTAGATTCATGGATTGTTCCTCATGAATAAGGTGAGGACTGACGTAGCTGTTAATAGCAAACAGCTATTCAAACAGCAGGACTCCATCAGTGACAAGTTTTTCAAAAACCTTTGTGAGATGCCCTGAAACTGGGGCCATGTTAAAACAGCAATGACAAAGGGATTGTCTGGGCAGAGGGTTTGTGATTTTTTATTTATTCTCTACACAGGGAGCAACACCAAAGGACGGACCAAGTGCAGGGTGTACCATAGTAACCGCTTTGCTGTCCTTGGCCATGAATTGCCCAGTGAGGCAGAATGTGGCCATGACTGGAGAGGTGTCATTAACTGGAAAAATTCTTCCTGTTGGTGGAATCAAGGAGAAGACTATTGCGGTAAGAGCTATCATCTTGTCTCCGTGCATCATCTGTGGGAGGGAGCCTGGGATGGGCTCAGCAGTGAGTGGGACAACCAGGGCGATCGCTCCTGTAGCACGAGAGGCAGCGATTAAAAATACTGTGGAGAAGCCGGCTGGGGGAACAGGGGGATGTGTGTCTGGCTGTGAGGAAGGAGATGGAACCCCAGGCTCTGTGCCAGGGCATCTGTGTGGATCTAGTTACTAGGCTGGTGGAATTAAGGCTGGAAGGGATCAGCTGGCTGTTAAAGCTGTCTTCTCTATCACAGACTGGTATGGTCCCGTAGTTTGTGCGGGGTTGAAGTGCCTGTTTAAGGAGGCATCCAGTGTAGACTTGACAGTATCGATAAGGTGTCATCCTTAAGGCTCTGTTCTCTAGTTCCAGTTTGAATTTGTCTGACTTAAAATTTCATATAGATATCCCTATGTTTTTGATGGAAGGAACTCAGTGTCCTGCATTTTCCACTGCGAAATTTCTTTGTACATAATAATCAATTCACAATTTAACCCTTGGCCATTTTCAGAATTCTTTTCCAAGCGTTGAATCTCTCTCTGTACTTTTCCTCAGCACAGCTCCTGCCTACGTCTGCCTTGCCTCACACACACATTTTTCTGTCTTCAGGAATGGCATTAGCTCCCTCGGTACCTGTTGAGCTGGGGCTTCACATCAGTGTTGTGTCCCCAAGTCTGTTCGGGCTACAGCCTTGTGCAGTGTGATTCCTTTTCCCTTGTGGCTTTAACATGGGCAATTTCTGTCACTGCAGAAGGACTAACGTATGGTAGGGACCTGTGGCACTGATGACTGGCTACACTTGCAGGAGTGTGAGTGGCCACACAGGGCCAAGTGCAGATCACTCACAGAGTGAGCGGGTACAGACCTGCCACTTGGTGAGCAAGCTCCACTTTCTGTGCTCCTTCTGATGCAGATGTCGTGTGAAAAGGTTCTGTGGGGTGCTATGGGTCACGCATATTGATGTGGTGGGTTGGTCTGATCAGCTGTTTCTAATTCTTCCTTTGATTCTAGCGTTTATCCTCACCCGAGTTGGAACAGACTTGTAAAACTGTGTGAAATAGTATGAATTGTTCTAAACAATCCCCTGATGTGCTGACATGGTCCTGCTAAAATACCTCCTGCAGCTGTCCCTGCAGCTGAGAAGGTGGGACTGGAGAGTCTTTTGGGGGGCTTGAGGAGATGTAGAACATCACCCATCCTTAGTGACATCTCCTGTGAGTAACGCCCTTGCTGCTTTCTGAAGAACTAAGTGAAGCCAGGTCATGCTCCTAAATAACTGTTCTTGTTCTTGCTTCTGAAGTGGGAGAGTGTGTTTCTAGTGGATTGATGGATTTCCAGAACTCAACAGACTGTGTAACTTTCTTTTCCCCCTAGGCCAAGAGAGCAGGTGTAACCTGCATCATTCTGCCATCAGAGAATAAAAAGGATTATTACGACCTTGCTGGATTCATTACAGAAGGACTAGAAGTGCATTTTGTTGAGCACTACAAAGAGGTATTTGATATAGCATTTCCAAACCTGGATTCCGCTGGAGGATGACTTACAACCTGGCATGGCTGGAGGCAGCCTGTCCTTTATTGCTCAGCCCCCACCCAGAAATGGGGTGACCCGAGGGCAATCCTGAAGTGGGACGTGGAGCTCTTGCTGCTGCGCAGCTGCTGAAATGAATTATGGCTTTGGCAGAATAAAGTGTTTCTCACTCTTTAATATTGAATTACGATCCATGTCAAGCATTTCCAATAAAACTGTGAAATTTTACCTGAGGAATGTGCATGTTATCCATCACAAGGCAGTGCAGCTAGTCTATCTCCTCTCATTAAAGATTTTCCAGTTGTTTTTCTGTAATTCTAAATGCTGCTTATGGAAACATTTAACTCTACAAGCAAGAGCTGCGGCTGTGATTCACATCCATGGTGTTCCTGATACACCTGGTAGTTGAGCAGCTGTCAGAAACCTCTCCCTGTCTTTTGTTTATGAGCCTGTGCCAGGCTGGAGGGGAGACTGAAATTCTAGGGCAGTCCAGCAGAGCTGGCGCGTTCAGCTGTGGATGGACATGGTTCTCCAGACAAATCATAGCCCAATACCATCAGAAACAACTCCAGACTTAGAGAGCAGACCTGGACAGGAGAGCAGTGTGCTCACCATCAGCAGCGAGCTGCGCGCTCTACCAGACTGTCTTTGCCACCGCAGCAGCTTTATTACTGAGTGAAAAGAGGAATTAAATGCAACTTAGTGTGACTCTTGCATGTCCATAAAGACAGGCTTGAGCCAGAGAACTTGAGTACTTTGTCGTTTGGCAAATGCTAGAAAAATGAATTGAAAGAGGGGAAGAGTAGTTGCATGAAGTGTGGTTGAAATGTATTTCCTTGTGCAGGAAGAACAGCACTTGTGCCATCTCACAGCCAGGTAGGCCTCAGTGGAGGACAAAGATCTAATTTGGGGAGCTCTTGCTGACGGCATTTCTCGTATGATCTGCTAACATGCTGCAGAAAGCAGGGCATGAAGGGGGGATATAAGCAGAAACTCAGGAGCAAGAACAGCTGCACAAGGCTCAAGTGCCATGGGGAAGGAGTGCAAAGCTACTGTTTTCAACAGCAACTTTTGTCCACTGACTGCTCTCAGCACCATCTAGGTTTGGAGACAGCCTGCGAAGTGGAACATACCTCAGAGGCTTGGCTACTGCTAGCTCTGCACCTCTGGAGGAGGATTCCCCCTCTAGAACACATCCCAGGCCAGTCCCAGGAACTCCAGTATCAGCACCTGGCTGCACGCAGAATAAAAGTGATGCACATTCTGGACTGCTGCAGTTCAGGGCCTTCGCAGCACGGTCCCTCGGCATCTCCAAGAGCTCCCCATCCCTGCAGGCTGGAGCAGAGGTACCACCACCAGTCACCATGCTGGTTTTGTCAGAAAGGACTTTATTGACAGGACAACTCAATCCTTCTTTGCAGCCGCCTTCCTCATGGCTGCCAGGACGTTACTGAGTTCTTCCCGCTTTCGCTTGGCCCGGATGTGAGTGCCAACCTGCAGGGCAAAGAGCGAGCAGTCAGCGTTGGTCCCTGCAGAGAACAGGTGAAACTCGGCTGCTTCAGGCAGGCGCTGACAACGCTTTACTCGGGCACCAAGCAGGAGGGTGAAGTGCTGGTAAACGTCGACTGGAACCCCACCCACCTACACTGTCCCAGCAGGAGCTGCTTCCACCACATCCCAGTAGTGCTTTGGCTCAAGAATTTTTGGGGAAAGGCAGGAGCTGCTCTCAGCTCGCTCAGCTGCCCTCAGTGAAACCCATTTCGTGTCACCTGGGTCACGGTCCCCAGCCCCACCAGTCCTGCTCTCCTCTTCCCCACAGCAGGTTTGCAAACAAGGCAGAACAGCAAAGCAAGTCTGAGTGCAGCAGCTCAGAGCTTTCTGGCCAAGTTCCTTTGCCCCTCCCCCCCTGCCAGCCAACCCAGGGAACATTCCCTCCACTTCCTGGGATTAGACCAGTAACTTCCCAACCACGGAAAAAATAAGAATTAATTGAAAAGCAGAGTATCCCTAGGGAAGGGCAGAAAACAGAGTTAGCAGCAGCAGAGTTAAGATGGCAGATTGACCCACCCGTTTCTTGATGAACTTCAGAGCACGTTTATCTTTGGAAACTTTCAGCAATTCCATGGCACGTCTCTCGTAGGGTGCAAAGCCGCAGACTTCCCTGATCATGTCTCGCACGAACTTGGTGTGTTTGGTCAGGCGCTGTAGGAAGGGGAAGGAGGGAAAACGTATGGACCACCGTGAATGGAAGTGCAGTCCCAGACTGGACTGCGAAGGGCTGTGGCAAACTGGGGGCTGAGGCCTCAAAAGCAGCTTATGCTGTCAGCGTGTCCCTGAGAAGCACAGTCCCCTGGCACGTGCTACGCAGCACAGTGATGCCAACAAGATTCACTACTCGTTCTTGTTCTAGCCACAGTGCTGGGGAATTTTACACATCCGCATGCATCAAGGGTTTAGAAAAAGCAGGGCCATTGGATGCCCGGGGTGTGCACTGCTGTGCATCTCAAACGCCACAGCTGGACAGCGTTTCACCGCAGGGGGCTAAAGGGTGCAAACCGAACCCAG